CTAGGTGCGTTTCTTTAAGTCTTCCTACCAATATGACCGAGTTGCGAAAACAAGGTCAAACAACTTCTTACCACGCTCTGATGATGTCCGTCATACGACGGTCGAAAGCTTATTACCTTTGCACCGGAATCGAAGGAGATTGCTTCGGAAACAGCTTCAGCATGAATCTTTTAATAAAGCCAATCGACAGTTGGTCAAGATGAATCCGCCGTCGTCTTCTGGTGAAACCGACCTTCGAATATCTTCACCCAACACTTTCACTCGAAATGAAAGTAAGCTCAACAATTCTGAAACAAAAGATTCATCGAAACTTAAATTTTCTACACTTTTCACAAGTCTGCCGACTCAACACGAGAAGTCGCATCAAATCCGGCAACTATGAGCAGATTATATTGGTGAAACAGGAAGAAAAATCGGCCTATGAATCAAGGAACATCAAAGACTCTGCAGGAATATGGATATGATAAGATCCGAAATAGCGGAACATATTGCGTGAATGGGGCACGAAATCGACTGGAAATTGACCGAAATGTTGCCTGCATGTGGTGAAAATACGCGAGATTCGAGAGGCCATCGAAATACTGACCGAGAGAAATCTAATTAACATAGACTTGAAGAAGGCAGGATCCGTGAAGACTTTGCATATTGCCTAAACAAACTAGGAGAAGACCAGGCATCAGAAAGATCAGCAAAAAAAGAAGACGAATAGATCAAGGTAATAGTCTTAGAAGAGATCACAGGGGGCTGAGAAATGAACAATCAGAAGCAAAAGGTGACGTCTTCAGTGACCTAATCAAAACAAGTAGAACCACGACATTTGTGGGTTGGCACACAAGAAACTAGGACGTAGAAAGTGATGGACATGTTATCACAAATAGAAATAGGAAAGATGCGGTGGAGACTAAAGCTATTTGGCTAAAAAATAGTCGTGTTTGATCATATAAGTAATCCTTGAATCACGACTATTGTTAGCCAACTATTTCTAACTTCCACTGTTTCTATCCTCTTTCTATCTATGCTAACAAGTCTATGACTTCCTATGCCTTAGTCTCTTATGGGCCAACCCACAAACGTTGTGGTTCAACATTGAACCTAACCAAAGCTAGCAGTAACACAACATTTGTAGGTTGGCACACAAGCAACTC